AACAACCGTCTGTATTGCTTCGGGATTTTGTCACACATCATATCTGCTTGAGCCCATCCCCGTCATCTGCCTCCTCTATCAGTTCCTCAGGTACTCCTTATCCTATAGCTAATTATGTAAAATGTGACAAGTTTTCTATTGGCCATCGGTGTTTTCTTGGAGCATTACTTGCAGGTCATGAACCTCGGTCATTTAAGGAGGCCATGTCCGATGTTGGCTGGCGAGAGGCTATGAAGAAGGAAATTCGTGCTCTTGAAGATAATAAAACCTGGGTTATGGAGACTCTTCCTCCCGGTAAGAAAGCTCTTGGGTGCAAATGGGTGTATAAAATTAAATATCACTCTAATGGCACTATTGAACGCTTAAAGGCGCGTCTTGTTGTATTCGGTAACCATCAGCAGGAGGGCATTGATTACACGGAGACCTTTGCTCCTGTGGTTAAAATGGTTATAGTTCGTATGTTCTTAGATGTTGATGCAGCTAAAAAGTGGGAACTCCATCAAATGGACGTGCACAACGCCTTCCTTCACGGTGATCTACAGGAAGAAGTTTACATGAAACCTCCCCCAGGTTTCTCTACCTCACGGCCCGGACAGGTGCGTCGATTACAAAAAACTTTATATGGGCTACGTCAGGCTCCTCAGTGTTGGTTTGCTAAATTAAGCTCTTCTTTAAAAGTGGGTTTTCGCAATCCTATTCTGACTATTCTCTCTTCACTATGTGTCGAGGGCATATTCAGTTATATGTGCTTATTTATGTTGATGATCTGATTATCGGTGGTAATGACACCCGGGCTATTTCTCAGTTTAAATTATATTTGCATAAATGCTTTCACATGAAGGATCTTGGAGTGTTAAAATATTTTCTTGGGGATTGAGGTGGCCCGTGGTGCGGATGGAATTTTCCTATGCCAGCGAAAATACATTTTGGACATTATTTCCGAATATGGACTTCTTGGGGGGGGGGGGGGGGGGGGGGACCTGCAGTTTCTCCTATGGAGCAAAATCATGCCTTGGCTCTTTCTCAAAGTGATTTCTTGGATGAGCCTGAACCTTACAGGCGTCTCATTGGTCGTCTCTTATATCTCTCTTTTACCAGACCAGATTTAGCCTATGCCGTTCATATTTTATCTCAGTTCATGCAGGCCCCGTGGCAAGATCATTAGTTAGCCGCTGTACGAGTGGTTCGCTATCTCAAAGGTACTTCGGGTCAGGGTATTCTTCTTCTTCCTGATTGTGATCTTTCACTTACTGGTTGGTGTGACTCTGACTGAGCTAGTTGCCCGTTGACCCGACGTTCTCTCACTAGATGGATAATTTTTCTTGGTAATTCTCCCATTTCCTGGAAATCGAAGAAGCAACAGACTGTCTCTAGATCTTCTACTGAAGTAGAATACCGATCCATGGCTGCTATCACGACCGAGCTCAAGTGGGTTAAGGAACTTCTCCTCAATCTTGGTATTCGTCATTCCCAATCTATATCCTTGATGTGTGATAGTCGTTCGGCATTGCATATTGCACATAATCCTGTCTTTCATGAACGCACGAAGCACATCGAGGTGGACTGTCACTATGTCCGTGATGCAATTCAGGCTGGCCTGCACGTCGCCCGACACGTGTCTACATCTGATCAGCTCGCTCATATTTTAAAGAAAAACAATGTAATTCATTAGTTTCTTTCATATTTTAGTATGAAATAAAAGAATTACTATTTGGAGCTTTCATGTTTTGTTTTGTAAAAGAGTTACATATTTTTATGTTTTGTTTTGGTAAACATTTTTATTTTTACACTTATTTTCAGATTTTGAAATTTCAAAATTTTATATTTTTTCCCAAATGTTCCCAAATAGTCTATACGGATTACGGAGTATTTCACAACTGTGTTAGTTGAAGACTTTCTCATTTTTAGTTATTGAACCGCAGTGACATTATAGGCCTTATAAGTTATAAGCCAACATACGTGCTCCCTCCGTCCCGAGAGAAGTTCCCACTTTTCTTATTTGGATGTTCTTAATTTAAGTTCCCATTTCCTTAAATGGAAAGTTATCTACATCAAAACAGTGCCAAACAGTGTCAAACCGTGCCAAATAGTGTCGAAACAGTGTCAAAACAATAAAATTTACCCCTGGTAAGTTTACTTGCATAAAAGTGTGTGAAAGTCAAATGGGGAACTTCTTTCGGGGACGGAGGGAGTATATGACTGAGAGCCAAGCCAGCAGGGCTTGAGGCTATTTTTGAAATAGAAAGCTTTGTTTGGTTTATTTTAAAGAAAAATGAAGAGTGATAAAGTTCCCTATTTTATAACTGTCTAAGTTTAGTTTGATTTGATCAATTTTATAACTATTTAAGTTTAGTTTTTAGTCTATATGACATAAAAGAGTGAAAAGTAATGATATTTTCTTTTGCACTGTTTTCAGTCCCAGACCAGACCAGATCCGATCAAATTAGACTAGGCCAGATGTAGTTACAAATTAAACATTGTTTGACACTGTTTAACACTATTTTGCACTGTTTTCAGTGAGCCCCTATATCGTACACCCGGGTGTACGTACATCCGGCCCAATTATTAAATTTGACTGGTGGGCTTACATCTTGTCCCAGCGAATCGTGACCATAGGGAACTGAATTCCTTCACTAAAAAGATAAAAACCCCAATGGGATTCGATCCCCAGACCCGAAGTAGGGTATGCAGCCTTCCAACCATCTCACTGACTTGTCTTGTTGAGATAATCAGTTCTTTTATCTTACTTATCCTATATAGTTTCATACTGCTTATTATTAATAGTAATTATAATATTAACTATTCTTTTGTTTTTGCTCATTATTACTATATTAAAAGACTAATTCATATTTTTGAAGTATTTATTTGATCTATGAATCATACTATTACTTTATATAAATATATTTATACTTTTTTTTTATATAGTGTTAGGTTCCTAATAAGCCTGATGCTCATCAAAAGTGTTTTAATGTTCATAATAGGTCTGATGAACATTAAAAGTTCATTAATGCTCATTTAACAGAAACTGTGATTTTCACCTCAATAGAAACTGTGATTTTTTCATCTCATTGATATGACATTGTAAAAATGAGCATAACATGAGTACCAAATGAACATACATAACTTACAAAGTGCACATTGATATGAAAATCGTAAGGTTTGTTAGTTGAACATCATAAAATTTTAATTGAGCATCCAACCTCCACTATTGAGATGAAAATCACGACTTCTGGAGAATGAGTAATAATGAACTTTTAATGAGCACCAGACCTATTCTGTTGAGCATACTGAATACACAAATTGATATTTAAGCATACTCGATATTTTAAATGAGCTTTTAAAATTTTTCTATGCTCATTTCGTAAATTAGCTATGCTCATTTGATATTGGTGTAATGTTCATTTTAAAATGAGCATTACACGAGACAACTTAAATGTTATATCCATGCATATTGGCATAATGCTCATTTTGAACTTTTTGATACTCATTTCACGCGTTATGTATTCACATATAATATTTGAGCATCAAACATCCGCTATTGAGATGAAATTGACGGTTTCTAGTGAATGAGCAATAATAAACGTTTAATGAGCAATTGTCCAATTTTAGTGAGTATTAAGCGTCTAATAATGAGCGCCGTGTTATTACAAGAAAGTTGATATCAAAACTAAAAAACGGTGGCATTTTCGTAATTTCAGTGAAAATCGCGGTCATTGTTAGATGAGCATTAATACAATTTTAATGAGTATCAAACGTATTCTATTGGGCATTAAGAGTCAATAAATGAGTATTGTGATATCAACTTCATATAGGTAATTCGCTTTTTTTTTCTTATTTTTTCTTTTATAAAAACTCATTAACTTATATCTATAATCAATTCCTATAAATTTTAATATGTGAATCTAATATAATATAGTACTTTTGAAATATGCATCGTTATGACATTTTAAAAATGAGCACAACATGAGTACCAATTGAGCATATGTAAATTACAAAATGAGCATTGATATGAAACTCATAAGTTTTTGTTGAGCATCACGACAATTTTGTTGAACATTAAACCTATTATGAGCATTAAAACACTTTTAATGAGCATTAGACTTATTCAATTGAGGATTAAGAACTTAACAATGTGAATCCAATGTCATATGCAACTTTTAAAATTTGCATGAATATAACATTTTAAAAATGAGCATATTATGAGTACAAATTCAACAAATGAGGATACATAACTTATGAAATGAGCATCGAAATATTTAAAATGAGCATTACACATATATGCATGGATATGACATTTTAAAATGTCTGGTGTAATACTCATTTTAAAGTGAGCATTACGCCAATTTCAAATGAGCATAGGTAACTTACGAAAATGAGCATCGAAAAAATTAAAAAATATCATTTAAAATCTCTAGTATGCTCAAATATCAATTTATGTATGCTCATATCGGTATAATATAAAGAATAGGTGTATATGTTTTTATTGCATCGCATTTGATATGAATTTTTGAATGAATTGCATGAAAAAGACAAAAAGTTATTGTAGCAAAATTACATAAAAACAAAAAAGTAGGAGTTCAAAATTAGTGATCCAGAAGACAAAAAGTATATATAAAAAGATAAAAGAAAAAATGAAGCATAAAAAAGAAAAAGAAAATTTAAAGTTGGAAAAATAAAAGTTCAAATTTAGAGACAAACAAAAAAGAAAAACCGAAGCAGAAAAAAGAAAAAGAAAATTGAAACATAGAAGAATTAAAGTTGCGAACTAAAAGAAGAAAAAGGAAAACCAGAACTATAAAAAGGAAAAAAAAAACGAGAAGCAAAACTAAAAGAAGGGAAAAGCAAAACTAACAAAAACGGAAGAGCATAAAGTAACGGAAGAGGAAGAGCAATAAGGAAAAGCAAAACTAAAAATCGGAAAGGCAGAAACAGTGGATAAATAGAGGAAGCAAAAGCCACAATCCTTAACTAATGACCTCCAATTTGCATATAATTACGTCCTCAAATTATTATTATTATCCAAAGTAAAAGTCGAGCGTCACGCGCGAGAGGGTGAGAACATAAAAACTGGTCGGTCCGCGACGTTTTACGCTAGCAGAGTGGCGAAATCAGACATTGCTTTCTCTTCTCTCCCTTCTCAATATCTCCGCCGTCAACTTCGCCTGAAATTTCGGGTAGCCGTCTCCGGCGATTTGTGATCTCTACCGTACCTTTGATTGTTCGAATCTTGAGACTCTTTCATGGTTTTCGTGATGAAATCTGGTGAGGCGGTTCGTGAACTGGATTGGCGAAGAGATAAGACGGCGCCGGTGAAGGTGGAATTGGTCGCCGATGATCACTTGGAGGAAGAATATGCCCATCTCAATAAACGATCCAAGCTTACTGCTCCCTTTCAGGTATGGCTGCCTAATTTCTACCTCTATGCGGAGTAATGAATTTCTTGTCCCCTTTCTCGTAATTTTTTTTGGTGCTGATGCTCCTATACTCAATAGATGTTATGTAGATGAACCGTTTTTTAATTTGGGCAAGGTGAAATTGTTAAACTGTTCGAAGTCCTACTTATATTTTTAAAATAGATTTGTTGGTTAAACTAAGCCTATCATTATTAGTTATTACATGAAATTTAGTTGGGAGTTTGATGAAATAACACTTTATTTTGGGGGACAGATGGATTCCGCAAATGTTAAAGTGAGAATTAACAGTAAAACATGCTCCTATTCATCCCTAAGTATTAGACACACCAATTAAATTACTACATAGTATTATACTATTATCTGTTTAATAAAGTTCTTCATGGTGAGGGAATGAGGGTACGATCTTTTGATTTTGACATGGTACAATCGTTACAAGTCATGGAATGTTACCTAGAATTTTAATTTTATATTTTTAGTTTAGCTAAATTTATCATTGTAACACCTGACCTCGTGAGGCATTGAGGTGGTTACTTCTAAATGCGATACAGACCCAGTCTATGTGTATGGCTCGATTTCTTAGCTGATAAGTTCCCTTAAAAGATGATGCACCTTGTCGGTATTAGTAGTACTATTAATCCGTATAAACTAATGTCAAGTATTACAATCATCTTCTACTTCTGTATTGGGAAAAGGCAATGAAACTACTTTCCTTAATGGGGGAATTAGATAATTGGTAGGCTATACTCCATCTGTTCATACATGAGTTTCTAACTTTCATTATTGAAGACGAGACATAGTTGGGGGAATTTGACTTTGCACCCCACTTTTGAAAAAAACTTTGCTGCCCATTTTGAAAAAAACTTTTATTTTGCACACCATCATATAACATTTCGAAAATAAAATTTTCTGAATGGGGTGCAAAGTCAAAGTTTTTTTAGTGAAATGTGGCGCAAAGTCAGAATGTTTTGAAAATGGGGTGCAAAGTCCAATATCAACCAAAAAGTTGGGTGCAAAGTCACAGTCCCCTGATATAGTTTACAAATTGTCAAATGTATCCTATCACTTTCCGCATATTAAAGAGAAACCATCAAAAGCAAACTTAAAGTATTAGAGGACAACTTAGTACGCCTTATTGCGTTGTGTTGCTAAATAAGTTCTTGAAGAAAATGCATTTTACTATCAACACTCATTTAAGAATGGAGGACTTCGTCTAAATGATGATATTTTATTTGCAGAAGTGATAAATGGAACAGGTGTTTAAAGTCCACATCATTGCACTTTCCTTTCGTTGGTTCACTAATTTCTATAGTTTACTTAAATAATCTAATGTTGAAAGTGTTCTTTGCTTTTTTGTTACTTATCACTTTATATGATAAGGGAACCGGAGCCACTGTATCTCCGGCCGGGTGTAATTTGTGCTGCATTGTTGTTGTTATTGCAGTATCAGGTAGGAACCGGAGCCACTGTATCTCCGGCCCAGTATAACCCACTGGATGAGCCAAGCCCATTGGGCTTGAGTTTAAGGAAGAGCCCATCACTTCTGGATTTGATCCAGATGAGGCTCTCTCATGGAAAGGTGGTGTCCAAAGCTGGAAAAAGAGACCAAAAAGGCAATTCCAGTAGTACTACAGAGAAACTAAAGGCTTCTAATTTTCCTGCATCAGTTCTCAGTATTGGTAGCTGGGAGGTAGTATTTATTCAACTTCTGATCTTAATAAATATTTTCCTGAACAAGGTAGATTTGTTGTGGATTATGTTCAATCCATGCCTAAACGTGGAATCCAAAAAAGTTCGATGTTAGTCTAGGGACCAAATGTCTGCACTAAAATTTTGAGTTCATTTTAAATGGGGTTATCCTTGTTGGGTTTTGTCAGGTTCAGGCCCTTTATTTATGAACTATACAGCTCTACTAAAATGAAGCTAAATTTTGAAAGAGTAATAACAAGATGATAGGAAAATATTTCATCTAAACCTATAATCGAGTGCACATCATTACGTGTGTAATGTGTAATTGTGATGATTCCTCAGATAACACAGTGTTTCTTAAAAATCATCGTAATAGTCATTTAAATCGCCGGTTCGGTTTCGTCGGTTTCGGTTTTAACAGATTGGTTTTTAGTCAGTTGGTTTTAGTACTTTTTACTAAAACGGTTTTTACTATCGGAGTGCACCAAGGATCAGCTCTGAGCCCTTTCTTATTTGCCATAGTCATGGATGAACTTACGAAGTCATATCACGACGAAATACCGTGGTGCATGATGTTTGCCGACGATATTGTGTTGATTGATGAGACGCAATCAGGTCTTAAAGCAAAGTTGGAAGCAAGGTAGTCAAATTCGAAAGGCGCACTTGAAGCGCTAGGGGCCTTCCAGCGCCTGAGGCGCAAGGCGCAAAAAAGCGCTCGCCTGACTCGGGTCAAGCGCACTATTCAGAAAATATTATGTATACTATTCTAGAGTGATTCAATATGACATATTCAACATCATATTGAACTAAATGCATCAAAAAGTCATGTTTCTAAAACATAAAGTCATGATTCACCAAACTAAAGTCATTGCTCACAAAAAAAAGTGGGGTCTGTCTGTTGATTTTGCAATTTCAGCACTAGGGATAGCATAAATTATAGTGTATGAAACTATTAACTGAGTTAGATTATATGAAGTTTTTATACAGTTAAAATATGAAATGATAATAGGAAGATACAGATTTATAGTGTATAATAAGATAAAATAATATAGAGTACAGATATTGTAAACTGGTAGTCAGGTAAATATAATATGTTTGAGTTGTATAGAATATATTAGAAGCAAAAAGAACTATAAAGTACACATAGATGACGGGAACTGATAAATGTAAAGAAAGAAGATAGACTGAAAGAATAAAATGAAAGGATCCCCGAGAAGATGACATAATAAATGAAAACTACAAGCTGAAAAAGAAAGAAGAAGGAACATGGGAAGATGATGATGAAGAAGACACCTTATGAGTTTCTGGATTCTGTGGGTTTGTTGAATGTGTTTCAGTGCTGAGCATGTTGCGCAAGTAGAGCATATAGCAGCGCAGGAGATTCACGATGAAGTCAAGACTCAAGATAGAAGACTTTTCCCACGACTAAGAAGGGTTTAATATGGGTTTAAGTTTTTTTTACCTATTATTTGGACGGGCTAAATCTTATTATAAGTATGGGCTTATTATTTAAAAAAAGGATCAAACAAAAAATAGGCACTGATAAGCCTTTCCCAGCCCAGGCGACTTAAGCGTGCGCTTTTCCCATGATCTGCGCTTCAGTGCTTCTGCACCTAAACTGCGCTTTAGACAGGGAGCTGCGCCTGGGCATTCTTCAGTCGCTAAACCTCATTTGCGCTGCGCCTGGTGCGCTTAAGCGCCCAGGCGCTCGCTTTTGACTACCTTGGTTGGAAGTATGGCGACAAACATTGGAGAACAAGGGTTTCATCTATGTCGGAGCAAGACAGAGTACATGGAGTGCAAGTTTGGTGGAGGTAAAAGCAGTGGTAATAGCGAAATTACTCTAGATGGTAAGAAGATACCGGTCAGCGATATGTTCCGTTACTTGGGCTCCATAATTCAGAAGGACGGTGAGTTAGATGGAGATGTATCCCATAGAATCAGAACAAGGTGGATGAAGTGGAAGGGTGCTCACATTGCTCGCCTGGACGACGACTGGACGATGCCAAGGTCGCCCCCTCTTCTTCGGGCGAGGCGAGGAATCCTGGCGACCAGTCCCTAGCGCCAAGACGCCTAGTCGCCGACTAGGCGACGCTGTGACAAGTATGGTTTGATCATGTGCGTAAAAGATCAAGTGATGCACCTATTAGACAAGTTAAAATGTGGGGAGAATAGGCGGGGAGAATAGGCGGGGAGAATAGGCGGGGAGAAGATGGAGATGAAGTTCCAAAAAGAAATGGATTAGAGGAGTCGGAAGTGACATTCATGCGGATAATTAATTTCTTTTAGATTTTTTTATCCTTTTATCTTTTTTTTTTAATATCTTTCTTATGTTCTTTATCCTTTTATCTTATATATTTTTATTCTTTTTACCTTATAATTTTTATCTTTATCTTGTTTTTTATCTTTATCTTAGTGGTAGTTATCTTATATTATCTGAGTCATTTTATCTTTTTTATCGTACCTTTTTATCCTTTTTATCTTTCTTATCTTTCTTATCTCTTTAGCTCCATTTCATGTGTCAAATCATGTTAGCGGACCATAAACTCTTTTGGGACTAAGACTTCGATGATGTTGATGTATTTGGTTTTGAATCCAAGAGTGGTATTGGATTCTTGAGGCTCGTCCAAGATAAGTTCCAATGTAGTCTATTTGTACTTCCAGTCTTTGGGTCGAAACTGACATAATTGACATTTTAGACAAGTGCAAACATATTAAGGAGGAACCTTTCAAAAGGATGCTTTGATCCCTATTTAAGTTTCTTTTGTGAAGGAAATTAAAGTTTCAAAGTTAAAATGCTTTTTATGTATTTTCAAGATAAATAAACATTTAATGTTGTAAGAATTAATATTGATAAAATAAAACGATTAGTAGTTGAAAATGTGCCAAATGACATTTGTTTTGGAAAATATTACGGCTACAATGTCAAATAATTTGGTCAGAGGGATCGTAGAATAACAAAAATATAAATATGGTATACTCCCTTAGAAGGACAGTGAATTAGATGGAGATGTATCCCATAGAATCAGAACAGAGTGGATGAAATGGAAGAGTGCGTCAGGATTTTTGTGCGATCGAGGTATGCCAACTACACTCAAGGGTAAATTTTATAGGACAACAATTAGGTCTGCATTACTGTATGGCGTAAAGTGTTGGGCGGGGAAACAATGTCTCATTCAAAAGATGAGTATGGCAGAGTGTATGCTGTGTTGGATGTGTGGACATACTATAGAGGACAGTGTGACGAATGAGACAATCACACAAAAGGTGGGAGTAACACCTATTGAAGATAAGATGTGAGAGTCTCGCTTGCGGTGGTTTGTCATGTGTGGAGAAGACCGAGTGATGCCCCTGTTAGACGAGTTGAGATGTGTAAAGAAGAGGCAAGGAAGGGAGGGAGAAGAAGAGCCAAACAGACGTGGATTAGAGGAGTCAGAAGTGATATGCTTCTTCTTGGATTGGATGAGGATATGACTTTGGAGAGGATAATGTGGAGGGCAGGTATTCATGTAGAGAAGTGATCTCTTATCATCTTTTCCCCCTCATCTGCTTTTTCTTTCTTGTTTTTTTATCCTTTTTATCTTTATGTATATTTATATTCTTTTTATCCTTTTTATTCTAGCATTTTATGTATATCCATCTCTTTTTATATTATATATATTTTTTTATCATAGCTTATCTTTTTATCTAGTTTATCTTTCATTTTCTTTTGTTTACGATATCATGTATGGATTCATGTTAGTTGACTCCAAAATCTTTTGGGACTAATACTTGGATGTTACTTTTTTATACTCCCTCCGTTCTTTATTAACTGTTCCCTTGGGTTTTTATGATTGTTAAGAAGAAAATATTAGGGGTAGTGTAGAGGGAGTAGGGTAAATGAAAATGTAGGAAAGCGAATATAGTAAGAATATTAGGTAAAATAAGAAAGTAGCTTCAAAAAAAGTAGAAAAGGTAAGTGTAATTAAAGTGAGGGTACAAAGATATTTTGATTAATAAAACTTACTAAAAAGGGGAAGAGATACAAATAATAGAAACATTCCAAAAAGGAATATGAGAGACTTAATAAAGAACGAAAGGAGTATATTTCAAATACTCCGTAATTTTTTTCATTTATACCTTAAAATTCAACATTTATACAGTGCATGAGTAATTCCCGTTCTTGGGTCAAACCGTGTTTTTTATGCCTTTACTTTCAATTATTGGTTCCGATTTTGACATGACATTAACTCGACCATGCCTATATATATGCAGTATAAGTCGAGGTACGAAGGGGATTTAGTGGCTAAGTGTTACTTTGCTAAGCATAAACTGGTGTGGGAAGTTCTTGATGGCGGTCTCAAGAATAAGATTGAGATCCAATGGTCTGACATTCTGTGGTTAAAAGCAACTTACCCAGATGATACACCTGGAACTTTGGATGTTGTGGTAGGGTATAAAAATAACTACCATATCATTGTATAGTTTTGCTTGGTAATTTATATTATTTGTTTGGGTATTTTTTATGTTTTTTTGTACTGCAGTTGGCAAGGCAACCACTTTTCTTTAGGGAGACCAACCCGCAACCGAGGAAACACACTTTGTGGCAAGCGGCTTCTGATTTCACGGGTGGACAGGCTAGCACATACAGGTAACTGGTTGCGAAATGGGTGTTTTATCTTTTGTAACAGGATATGGCATACTGGTGAAACCTTTTGAGTTTGAAGGCTCAAACCTGACAAGACCACATTTTTTATTAGGATGTTTTTAATTGGATTACTTTCAGTTCCAGACCAGACCAAGCTTAAGTAGATCAGACCAGACCTGATTTCAACACTTGTAAAATACACATTGAATGATAGAATAGTCATCTATCATTAGAAGGTAATTGAATTGTTTTAGGACTGAAAAAAGAACTGGGAAAAGCAAGAGAAAAAGGTGAAGTGGGAAAGATAGGGATAGGTGCGAGTAACTTTTACTCTGAAGAATTGGATCAATGTGGGAAAGATATTAGAATAAGTATAAGAATATGCTTTAGAATATTTTAGGATATTATTACTCCATCCGTCCTGAATGAATCACATTTGCTTTTGGCACGGTGTTTTAGGAGTCAAATTTTATGCCAAACTTTCCTATCTCGCTCTTTATGGTATCTATTAATCTTTCCATTCCTTTCGTCCCTTTCTGCCTAAATTTACTACAAAGAACTTCCTTGACATTGGAGCAACTTTAATTCGTAGCAAGATCGAGCAAGTAGTAACCCTCACTATGAAGCGGTCTATGAGCTGAAGCAATTCTCTTCTTCCCAACCTTCACTGCTCTACTACTGAAATTTATTTTTCTTAAAATGCAATGGAGCCAGACTCACTATTTTTAGCTTGAGAATATGATGAAATAAAGCAAAATGGCTCACTAAACCGTCTGCGCTTCTTTGTTATTAAGCAACCGTCGGTCTATGCAATTTTCAACGCAATTCTCACTATGGGTCATTCGGAAACAGTCTCTGTACTTTTAGAACAAGGGTGCGTACATCCGACCCCCCCTTACCCCACCGTAGGTGGGAGCCTTAGCGGCACTAGGGTAATGATGAAGAATGATGAAGATCTTTTAACTAAAAATTGAAATACAAGAGCAGAAGAAATCAATACTTTTAATACATCATGTACATGTGAAATATCAATTCTTCCGATTTTGAAACTGGGAAATTTACAAACCCTTTAATTTTTGGTCAAACGCTGCCTAAATTAGTCCTCGGAGATAATCTCTGCCGAGTATATCATCTAATGACTTTCAATTTCGAATTGCTAGTTTTGAGAATTGGATGGTGAGCAAGACATAAAGCTGTAAATGGAAACAGTTATTCTCTGCCGAGTAGTGAAGGATTGTTAGGACAATTTAATGTGAAAAGAGTTTATCAAAAAGAAAACATAAAGCTTTAAATGGGATGTCCGAAGAAAGAGGGAATATTATTCTAGTATATATTTCAACATGGTATCAGAGCCATAAACAAAAAAATCAGAAAATCAATTGGCATTGAGCTAATTCCCAGAAAATCACTAGCATTGATACGGTCTTCCCAACCTTAGAAATTCAGGCCACACCTTTTATCACCACCATACCCAGGTACTGTGCCTACCACTGGGGACCCAGCGACCAAATGCCGACATCCAAACTCCACGCGAGTGAGACACACGTGCCGTCACAGCTCGACGACCTTAACTCACGCGCCGACGCGTGACGTCTGTTCGCAGACCAGATTTTTTATTGTAATCGATTCCACAGGCTCACCTGCATATCACCAATCTTCTTGGGCCGCTCGTCTTGAACCTGGTAAAGATTTTTTCCTGCCTCCATAGCTAACCGTGAGCTTGCAGGAAGTTTTTGACAAACCTGCCCTAGTTGACTTCTACCCAACTTGGTGTGGTCCTTGCTAGTTCATTAAAGGAAGAGAATATCTGTTTCTTTGCCTCAACCGAAGCAATAGTTTGAGGCCGTGACTTTGTCTCATAACAGTGGATTTCAATCAGCTTGCACATTCAAAATCTGCCGAGACCCTTTGTTTTCCTTACTTTGAAGGACTTCTTTACTAATTTGCAGTGAATGTGGAGGAAACTACAGTCAAAGTAAATTGAGGTTACCTGCTTTATAGTCAAACTATAGTCAGTTTGGGAAAGGATATCGACAATTGAAGTTCAAATTCAAGAAAATCAAGTTGCTTCCGCTACGAAATCATCCGATGGATCACTTACTCTTTTGTGACGAGTATGTCAAATTTCATTGCTGTCAAGAGTATCTAAAGCATTCATCTGGTCCTGTCTAGGTAACCACTAATTTAGGTTCTTCAAAGACATGTCTTATTTCTCATCCTTGAAATGGGTCATTGATTCAGGTGCCAGAGACCATATGATCGATAGTCCTTATCTTTTCTCATCATTTCATTCATATTTACCTACTTCTAGTGTCACTTTGGCTTCCGAATCTACCTCACTAGTTCTCAGATGTGGTACTGTTATCCCAACTTCTATATTACCATTATCACCAGTTTTGAGTTTTCCTAATTTTGCATTTAATCTGATCTCCATCAGTAAAATTCCATCAATTCCATCAGTAAAATCACATGTACCCTTAATTGTTCTATAATACTTTTTCCTGATTATTTTTTGACCAAGCAGACTATTGGTAAAAGACATGAGTCAGCTGGTCTTTATATTTTGGATACATCAATCACAAAAGACATCTTATGTCTTGGGTTGGAACTTTGTTAGAGGTTTATTACCGACTAGGACACTCATTTCTTTCACCGGCGAAACAAATTTTGCCACAATTTAATAAGGTGTCATTTTTACAATGTGAGTCATGTCAATCGTGAAACATAGTCGTGCGAGTTTAAGTCCTCAAATTAATAAACGAGCAAATGCTTCTTTTTGATGTTTGGGGTGCTTGTCCGGTTGTGTCCAATTTTAGATTTAAATATTTTGTCACACTTGTTGGTAATTATTCCCGGATGATTTGGTTATGTTTTATGAAACTTCGCTCAGAGCAATTTACTCATTTCTTCGCCTTTTGTGCTGAAATTAAAATTCAGTTTAATGTTCCTATTTGTGTGTTCTGGAGAGATAATGCCCAACAATATCTATGCTCCATTTAAGTTATTTATGCTTCAACATGGCATTATTCATCAAACTTCATGCGCAGACACACTTTGTCGTGGAAAGAAAGAATCGACATCTGGTAGAAATGCAAGGGCTCTTCTATTCCAGATGAAAGTGTCTAAACAATTTTAGGCTGGTGTTGTGTCAACCACATGTTTTATGATAAATTGTTTGCCGAATTCTGTTTTGGATGGCAAAACTCCTCATCAATGTCTTTTTCCAAATAAAGAACTTTTTCCTATACCACCTAAATTATTTGATTGCACTTGTTTTGTTAGAGATGTTAATCCTCATCTCTCAAAATTAGATCCCAAATCATTAAAATGTACTACCTCCATCCCATTCTCATTTTCCCGTAGCAAAATAGTATGATTATTTCGACAATAAATAAATAAGGTTATTCAAGTATATTTTGAGGAATAATTTTGATGGGTATATAATATAATGTGGTCATTGAAGATAATTGTGATGTTATAAATGCATTATTTTTAATATTTCATGATTAAATTGTTATTTAAGAGTGCTAATTATTTTTCTAAAATAGAAATGAGAACCTTTAGATGAGATGTCCAAAATTTAAGTGAAAACCTTTAAATGGGACGGAGGGAGTATTTTCTTAGATGATTTTCGAGTTCAAATAGGGTATGGATGTATTTGTCCCAGTACAGGTTGGTATCATGTTTCTATCGATGCCTCATTTCATTAAAATACACCTTTTTCATCATCAAAGGCATATATATTCATGAAGACAATGATGAAATAGCCATTTATATGGTTGCTATACCTGAGTCCACACCTTCGGTAATTATTTCAAATGTTACTGTTCCTGATCCTAGGCCTCCAATACGCTTGGTGTACACCCTTTAACACAAAGCACCATATCACCCCCCACCCGTGATTACTTGTATACTGATATTGATCCGATGTCAATCGCATGTCCTGAACCAATACCCGCATCTTCAGATCTTGTCTCTACCAGTACCAGTATCACTCCCGCGGTGAAACATGTCACTATGATTGCGAGAAATTTTTTCTGATGATTTCTTACGGAAAAACAAAAAAAATTGAAAAAAAGTGAATTTTCAGGCAAAGCCATGTTTGAATAGAAAAACAAGTGTTTCAAGAGTTTCTAAAGAGTTTCTGTATAGTATCATAAATGGAAATACACTCTTTGCTGAGAGTTTCCATGTTTCATTGCATAAAATCAATTATATGACATGAAAAAGATGCCCTTGTAGTTTTTAAATTTATGGCGGGATTAACATAAAAAAGCCAAACCAATAAACTACTTACCAGACACTAGCAATATATTTGACCCAATCAAACATTTGAAAACACACACACACGTATTTGAAAAATATAATTTACTCAATCCAAAGAGCTTTAAAAAATCCCGATTAGCTGATTACCAAATATCCCTTCATTTCAGTTTCAAATTCATGCTCTATATTAAGCATGATTTTGTGAGAATATTTTGATCTATCTGTTTTCCTTTCAAGGTTCTATTTTATTTTCTTTAAATACTTGTTTTCCATTCATCACAGGCGCCATTATCTGCAGTGTCCACAAGGCTTGTTAGGAAGGCATTTTGAGAAGCTTATTCAATGTGATCCGCGTCTGAACTTTCTAAGCCAACAAGCAGAGATAAAATTAGATACTCCTTATTTTGAATCCAAACCTGCTTGTGTAATGTCAATATTTGAAGAACCGTCCGGTGAGAGTGTTACCACCGCTGGGACTGAAAATTGCACATTCGTCAATGATTTATGTGACGCCAATTCACCTTCAGGGGCTGCCTCACAGAGTGAACAAGATCCTTTTGTTCAGTCTTTTGAATCTATTCGGCATGAGGCTCCTTCCCCGAGCTCGGGTACGTTAAATTTGATATTAAGAAAAATATGCACTTATTGAGCATTAAGTGTTAAAGTCTATTGAAAGAAAACTGTCTTTATAGACTTTATTTAGATATGCTCATTACTGAGTTCGATATGCTAGAAAGAAAATACTATGGTATGGAAATATAAAGAATAAAGAATAGAGCAGTGGTAAATTGAAAGCTAAATTCAATAAACTTACTCCGTATTTTATTATTTACAACATATTCCTCTTGGGATGTATTTTATTATTCACAACATTTATGTTTTTTGTAAGTTTTACCTTATTGTTTCATCTTGTCTTTTTGTATTGTTTCATCTTCTCTTTGAAACTTTTCATCTATTCTATAATACTTTTTACACTTTTTTAACACTATTCACTACCTCTACTATTTGTTCTAAATCTCCTTAAAAAACCTATAGTTGCAAATAAAAAAATACGGAGGGAGTATATCCTAATATTTATTTATTTAATGACCTTGGCAAATAAGTATATACCCATAAATTTATGTAAAAGGATTTTTAGGTGATAATCATGTTTCATTTAGAGGGAGTGCATCCTGCGACAACTTTTCTTGAGATTCTTTTCCCTTTCATAGCATTCTCCAGGGTCCTACCCTAACATGCTCAGAACTTCTTTAGGTTCGCATTATTTAATGAACTTAAGATTTTCTTGCCAAGGATTTATGCCTGGAGTGGTTACCAGGAATAAGCCTAAATAATTATATCCTCATATGACTTAGGTAATGTTATACAACTTGAACCAAACACCACACCATTTGGGTAGAATACTGTCTTTTGATCACTTTCATTTTTCTTTCGCTAACTTTTTTTTTGGATTAATATATTCATAGTGATGGATGCGCGGGTAGTCGAAGATATAAAGAGCAGAAGAGTAGTACAAGAAGAATGGAAGGATATAGGATCTGGGATCCCAGTTCTACACCCGTCCATGTCAATGAGCGATCTCGTGACCCATTTTGAGCAACGAGTTTCCCAACAAAACCCCCAGCCCCTCTCGAGTGAGGAACACCAGAGTCTACAAATCCTTGAGGAGATAAATCGATGCTTGTTTAGCGACACTACTCAGTCAAACTCGGATGAGAAGTCTCTAATGTCTCGGGTCAACTCACTCTGCTCCCTTCTTCAAAAGGACCCTCCTCCCACCGGGGACACGTTTCATCATCCTCATCATCAAAGCAATGATAATAACAACAGTGCAGGAATAATAACAATGGGAGACAGTAAACTGGAGCAGGAGGGGGATCAGAGACCAGCAGCGTCAATGACAAGAAAGGACTCAGTCGGGGATTTGTTGCTTAATTTGCCAAGAATTACGTCTCTTCCTCAGTTTTTGTTCAATATTGCTGAAGATTCTGATTGTCCTCAATCTCGGTGAGAGACTTGCCTTTTCTGTGTAGATATAGCTGTTAGTGACTAACGATGCTGTGTACTAAATAGGAATTGGTTCTATTTCCAGATACTTGTCCTTGTTTTACGTGGCTATGTCAAATCCTTAAAAGTTGGTGGGTGATATTAGTGGTTAGTTGAGCTTTTTCAGTTTTTAGCGAATTCAATGGTGTAAATGGGTCTTGGACAAGATTGTGATTTAGAGATGGATATATTTGCATCATGCTAACTTAATAGGGGTATGCATCATACATGGACACAGTCCGGTCCTGGGGGTGGGAGGACGATAAGCTGAAATCAGCACTGGTTATTCCAGACTAGGCATGGACCCAGTTCGGAACTGGGTTTGGAACTGTTTGAGCCTGAATCGGGTCTGTTTTTCCGTATTGGGCTCAGGTCTGGCCTTGTCTTTTGGGTTTCGGTACCCTGTACCAAATTACCTAGTTTGGGACCGAACCGGGGGGGTCCCGGTTTTGATTCAAATGGTAATTTTTTTATTATTTCAGAGCGGCAAAAATAAAATAAATTAACAGGGCCGAATTGGGGCTATAGTTATTGGGTACCTGAAACTGGCCCAAAACCCTGCATAAGCAGGCGGGCTCGTGCTTCACTACCATCTGACAAGGGTTGGGCAGTCTCGACTCGGAATCGGGACCGACCAATGAGGGTCCATGCCTATTCCGGACCAGAACTCTGGTCTCGACCATTAAGATTTTTTTTAACTCGGAAGGCTAACTATCAAAATAAGTGAGGTAAATGAGGTGATGGGTATTATTTACCGTATTTTATTAATATAAAAAGTAAATACATTTAGAGAGGGGTACCAGACCAATATCTTCCAAGAAGTGGCATACCATTCCGAAATACATATGAAAGTACGCATAAAAGTAAATGTAATTACCAAACACTGAATTAGTATGGATTAGTAAATCCATCAAGTGTATGACAGTGTTTATTTATGCTTCCAAATGGCATATCCATCCACCATCCATCCATCTATGGAGTCATACCTGGCGTACTCTTTCATGGAGTCATAAGACCTATGTGGGCATCAACATCATTTTTAGTGAGATCCATGTGTGGTGATGATGGTGCAACATAGACCATATAACTCTGTAGAGAAGTAATACATGGCTCTTTAAAATCTCTCATATTTAAACATTGTTAATTTTAAAGTTTCAAATGATTACAAATAACAAAATACTAATTAGTATAATACTATAGTGATTATTGCAATGGAGCCAAAAACTCGCTATTTTTTGGCTTGACAATATGATGAAATAAAGCAAAATGGTTCACTAAACTGTTTGTGCTTCTTTGTTATGAAGCATCAGTCAGTACATGAAGTTTTTGACGCAATTTATACTATGGGTCCTCCGGAAACAGCCTCTCTAAGTTTTTAGTACAGAGATAAGACTGCATACATCCGACACCCCTTACCCCACCGTAGGTGGGAGCCTTTGAGGCACTGAGGTAATGATGATGATGACTATAATGATAGTGTTGAAGTTAATTTCCTCAGTCCAAAGGTAAATATCCTTTGGTGAGTGGCAAGATCAAGGAATATGTGCTTTAAATGGATGAAGAACTTTTATAATATAGGAAAAATTGAAAACAATAATTCAACCTATTGTCGGTCTACCATTAATAATCTCAAATATCAATTATTCCTGGGTGGTCCCAAATATAGGAACCATTGTCCAAAAATAGTCCCTGACCATGTATAACATTGTATAGCAGGTCAATTTTAAATGGGGGGAAATGAGATGAACACCCAAACTTGCATATATAATTTAAATACACCAAATTTTATATAAAAAGTTATTTTAGCATCATAGTCAATATTATTTCTTTCAAAAATGTAAATTTATGGTGTTAATTGCATAATTTAGAATATTTTAAAATTCATGAAGACAGAATTAACACTCTAAACTTATGGTTGTATTACTTACTTTGAGACTTAGCAATTAATCACATGGGCCCCACTTGTCTCTATTGTGACAATCAAGTCACAAGACACATGATACTTAATTTGGAATTTCATGAACGTACCGAACATGTAGATATGGATTGTTATTTTGTTAAGGAAAGGGACACTAGATTGATACCAAACAATGTTCCATCTCCATGACTAATTAAGTGGCTGGCATCTTTACTTAAGAACTTACTACAATAGTACCGATCGTTCTCAATTTATGCACAACAAGCTAGATGTTCGTGGCCTTCAAACTCCGCCTTGAGGGGAAGCACATGTTTAAATGAAACCGGATTGAACAAACCGTGGTATCATATTTAGAAATATAAAAGCGAATAAAACTTTTTATTTTGATTCGACTTTTGATTTTAGGTCAAAATCGAACCGTTAGAACTTAACCCAACTACCAATATACATATAATTCGAATATGGTTAGAATGGACTGAAAACTTATTATACTAGACTTGAATATTTGCGGGGTGGACTATGAAAAATGAAAAAAATTACACAAAAAAAATGAATTTTTTTAAACTTACCTTGGTTTTGATCCTACTGTAAGCCATACATAGATCTTTTGTATGCCATACAAAAGATCCTCCCCAATCTTAATTAGCGCGCCATCCATATTGTCAAAATTTCTCACAAAATGGTCTTTCCAGTTTCAATGCACAAAGACCGTGCTGGTAATTTTTGACATAATTTAGTGGTCCAAAGCGTGCGCGTTTTCAGTTCTATGCTACCAATTAAAGCACGTTTTCACGACATGATAATATGATATGTAATTTAATAGGTACAGACGTGAGATCAACCGCATCGATTATAGTGTGTGATGGTAAAGTCACTAAACTGATCGATTTAAACCTTCAGACCTCAGTAAGCTGGTGAGGCCTTTCGTCCATAATAATTATATGCAAACACGTATATATGTTATCCAAATAATGTTCAAGGGGGCCTTGGGACATGCGAGTTGCAAGAACATCGATCTTATAATGTCCTCCTCAGATATCGTACAGAAAATCTTTGAAAAGCTTCATATGATGAGACTGTAAGGAAATAGCCACAGATAAGCTACCATCGTTAGTGGGACTTGGGAGTATGAAGCTCAGCCCTTCGTAAGCGATGCCACCAGGTCCCATAAAAACCGGCCTTCCCCACCCAAAATCGGCTTCGTGGATGGGCAGCCTGGCCCAGCTCGTGATCCCGAGGTTGGGGCACCTAAATGTGTGAGCCCCACGCACAAGGGCCTTGAGGTCAGGCTGAGCTTCCAAGTAGTCAAGCGCCGATCTCAAGTAGCTGTCGTCCATCCTGCTCAGCGCGTCATGGATTTTGCTAGCGGCAAACCATGCGGGCTTCGCCTGGAGATCTCCGGAGAGTGCAATGGGAGTGGCCGTGAATATCACGTTACCAAAATAGCCTGGTGGGAGAGGTGGTCTCAGCCTCGACCTCCCGTCAGTGGCTATGTACAGTTTCGTTTCTTGATCCTCATTCAGCCCTCGTGCCTTGCAAGCGCAACGCCAAACATGGCCCGACAACATTTCGTAAGAGCTATACACGGTGCCTTCCTTTGATTTGCCAGCTTTGAGAGCACATATTTGGTCTTTGGATAGTCTGAATATGGACACGGCTGCCTGCTCACCTGCAGGCTGCTGCAATGCGGCGCTGTCGTTGTTCAGGCTGGGAGGCGGTTGGTACTCAACATGGTGGAACTGCGGTTGAGGTGGGTCCCGCGCTTGGAGCAGCGTCCTGTCGATGAAAGGTGGTAGGGTGGGGTCAAGGCCGCGAGCCATGTCTGACCAGGTATTGATGAAGTGTAGGCCTGAAGCTCCGTCTGCCACATGGTGTTGCATTCCCACACCTAAGGACACTCCTCCGCATTTGAACTCTGTCACCTGCACAAATTTTCCCCGAATCAGTCATGCACTCAAGCAGTCGGGTACTCCATTAGGGGATGATGAGAACCAATTTTAAAATGAGAACTTCTCGTATCTCTTTTTCATTTTTATAATCATGCATGCATCAGAATAATTATTTAATTTTCAAACGAAAAAATATATTTCCAAAACACAAAGTATATGTTCCCATTCTTTAAAAAAAAAAAGTATGTGTTCCCATATGATGCACGTACGCTACGCATTTTCAATTTTTGTAATCCAAATTAAAGACCTGAGTATCTATGAATTCAAAAATAAGATCCTTCAATGAGTAAAAGTGTAAAACCAAGTACTCTGTTATAATATCGGGCTTTACATGTTCTTTTAGGCTCGGCTACTCATTTAGTAAAAACAGTAGTTAATAAGATTGTTTGAAGTGGTAAGCTTACATTCACAAAGCCACGTACTATGGCTTAAATATACAAGGGATATACATCCAATAGTATTAAAATAAAGATAAGGAGGAGAATACATAGCTAACTACAAAACAAACTAACAAACTATACGTATATAATAAGTAACAAATAATGTACATTTAAAACGATGCTATTCTATTATGCTCCTCGTAAGATGGGCTGCCTCAAGGTGAGACTGATCTTGGAAGGTAAGTGTGGAAGATAGCTCAATCGAGTGGTTTCGTAAGTATATCCGCTAGCGGATTATTTGAAGAAACATGAGTAACTCTAAAGAATCATTCTGGACTGTTTCTCGCACAAATGGGTAGCAGTCTAGAGCTAAGTACTTCATACGGGAGTGAAAAACTAGTACTTACATAAGTGGCACCCAAATTATCACAATAAATAACAGGCTTGTGAGAAAGATGAAATCATAGTTCTCATAGAAGAGATATAATCCATATTATTTCAGCTGCAATATTAGCAATAGCCCGATGATGAATACCGGGGCATCCGATTATATGTTATTGGAGAGATTTAGTACATTAGCAATAGCTCCAATTTCAATTGCTTCTATTGATGATCTAGAAATAGTACATTGTTTTGTGGAAATCCATGAGATGGGTGCTTTCCCAAGAAAGACAAGATATCTCATGGTAGAGTGACAATCATCTTTATCTCCGGCCTGGTCAGCATAAAAAAATGCATGCATAAAAAGAGGGGAAGAATGGAAGATGTATAAATATGAACGATCTAAAGTTCCACAGAGATAGCGCAATAGGCGTTTAACAGCTACCCAATGATCTGTGGGTGACTCATGCAAATATTGAGAGAGCTTGTTAACCACAAAAGAAAAATCTGGCAATGTAATAGTAAGATAGTGTAACTTTTCCAACAACCATCCGATAATATTCTGGTTTGTTAAAAAACCCCGCCAATTTAGTTAATGATGCATACTTGTTAAAGACAATAATATGAAATTTGAGTGAGTAACCGACCAAGACACATGAGATAGATTTAGGTTCAATTTTTGTTAGGGACCCGGCCCAATTGTTAGGGGCCCGGCCCAATAGAGTATAATAATAATAAAATGTACTTCCTCTGTTCCTTTTTAATTGCAACAGTCAACATTTCACGTTTGCCAATGCACAAGTTTGACTATTAATATCTTTCATTCCTTATTAGTAAAAAAAATTAAAAAATTCATATTTTGAAAATTTAGAATGAGAAGAATTTAACAATATTTTTTAAAAATTTATTTTATTATACATTAATTAATAAAATGTAGTCAAAGTAGAACATGTGAATAGTGCAAGAAGTCCAATGTTGCAACTAAAAGAGAACGGAGGTAGTATAAGTTTAGTATAAATAGAAAGAAGCTGGGGGATAGTGAGGAGGCTTTTGGATTGTTTAATTCGGGACTTGGGAGATCGAGAGTTACTCTCTTTCTTGGGGGGCTTCGGCTCATTTGGGGGCTTCGGCCTTGTTACTTTTCTCCTGTAATCAATCTTCCACTTCAATAAAGATTTTCAGATTGTTTCATTGTTAATCTTTCTGTTTAATTGTTCTGGATTCTTGGGGTTCCTATCAATTTTATGAGTGGTCCAAGGACAAAGTCACGAATAGCAAAGGCAACCAAAACTCTGTTATTTGGTGTAGTTGGGAGGTGTTTTGATTTTTTAAAAGCTCAATATATAGAGTTTTATGATCAACAATTGGGGTTGGAACTTGGGAAGTGGTTAATAAGACATACTGCTCTGTCAAAGCCAAATGGCCATAATGTAGTAGGGATAGAGGCATCGGTAAGAAGGGCAAGACTCGTCTCTACAATGTCTATGGTGATGTTCAGGAGGCCATTATGTTGTGGCGTATGGGGAGGATATGTAAAATGTGAAATTCAATGTGATGTAAGATATGGTATCATTGTCTGATATTCACCCCATTATCAGAATAAAAAAATTCAATTTTGGATTTAAAAAAACGTTCCACAATTTTGTGAAAACGAGTAAACACAAAAAGCGAATCGGACTTACGTTTGAGAGGATAAAACCAGATTACTTAATGTGCTGATCAACAAAAATAACATAATATTTATATTAATCGACAGAAAGTACAGAATATGCCTATAAATTAGAGTAATTGATTTCCAACAGATAAGTGGACTTTATTGTGGAAATATTGTATGGTATTTATGGCTCTTATTACAATGACAAGTGTGACTATTTAATTTATAAGTACTAGGGATTAGAATTCAATCAACACCACTTAGCTAACACATAACTAATATGAAGGGATGACCGAGAGAATGATGTAGTTCAGAAATGAAAGAACATAGACTGGAGTATAGAACTCGGGGAGGAGACTTTAAGGAGGGCTTGTCATAAACACCATGATTTGTTAATCCTTTGAGAAGATGAGCTCCCGTGGTCAGATTTTTCACAATGAAAGAATAATGTAAAAGTTCAACATATAAATATGATTATCACGTCACAATTGAGAAACAAACACAATGCTTTGTTTTATTTGTGGGGCATGTATGACACCATTTAGTGAAAGGGGGCATGTATAGGAGATAGGTAATCCCGATCCATCACCAATAGCAATCTCATCAGTACCGGCATCTGGTTTGTGAAGAGAAAGATTATCAAGATCAGACTGAAAAAGCATGGTGAGAGGAACCACTGTCGAGAAGGCAGGAGGAATCTGAGGGAGAAAGAAATTTGGGCAGAGGAGAAAGAAATAACTTTCGCCACATATTTCTTATTTTAAATGGAAATCACACATATTTCTTACTTTAAATGGAAATGAAAAAGTTTTTTGAGACGACCAAAAAAAGAAACCCGGCCAAGTTTTATGGAACAGAAAGGAAAGAGTACTATATGTGTACACCAAGAGGCCGCTTGACAACACTGTTTTTCGGTTTATCAGGTTTATCAAACAACTTTTTCACCAAACACGTAATTTTTGCTTTCACATGCTGAATTGTGTAATAAGCAGAAAAAGTAAGGTTAAAGTTGCTTTTCTGAATGTATTGGCTGAAGTTATTGTAGATGACCATTTTAGCTATTTTTACGTATAATTTTTTCTTTACTTTATTAACAAAATATATTTTATTTTATTTTCTTAAATAAGCAGACAATGCAGCCATTTCAACCGGAACTTCGCAAATTTTAGCAGAATAAGTCAAAACAGCCTATTTTAGTGCTGCCAAACTGGCTCCAAGCATCGCCCAAAATCTAAATAGGAGTGCTTGGAGAAAAAGAAGGCCGACCTTTGGCGTAGGGACCGCTGCTAGAAAGAGCCTCCCGTCTGCCAGAGAAAAGATGGAGGCTTCGATCTGTCGCATCTCACACTCGCACCTGCCGCTTCAATTCGTCGGCCAACAGGGGAGAGATGGAGACCATGGCGGCAGCCGTCCAACAGCTATATATCATCCCGGTTCCGGATCCATCACTTGCCTCGGTGCTCTGAATTTCAGATTGGAATCGCTGCTCCTGGCTACCCTTCTGGTTGCGAATTCCATCTTTCTCTTTGATTAATCCAGACCGATTATGCTGAATGTCGTTGGGATCGAGATGAATTTTGGCATTTTATTTTTGGGAAGGTCACTTACCGCCACCTTTCTTTTCTGTAAAAATTCTTTAGGCCGTATAACATATGGATGCATGTAGGAGTTTAAAAAGCGCTTTTCAGCTTTTGGCTTAAAAAAAAGTTGAAAAGAGTGTTTTCAAATGACAGCTTCTGCTTAAATTAATCACTTAAAAGTTAAACTCTGGAAGCAGGTAAAAGGGTGCTTTAAACTGCTTCTCACTTTTTCTATTACACAAAAAGTACTTATTTTACCAAACACTACCAACTTTTACTTTTCCATAATCACTTTTTTCTCAAACACTACCAACTTTTATTATTAATCACTTTTCCCAAAATCACTTTAAAAAATCACTTTTTTAAAGTTAAAGCAATTGCAAACTCTCCCTAAATGAGTCAAGTCACGATTGTAGATCGTTCGAGAAAAGTTCGACTCGAGTTCGATCATATTAAGCTCGATTCAAGTTCGGTCATATTAAGGCCGACTCAAGTTCGACTCGACTCGAATAATCAACAAGTTCAATTTAAGCATATTTATTTTAAACTCGTGGGTCGTGAGCCGGTTCGTGAACTTTTGTGTCATATTTTATATATGATAATTAAATACGGAGTATGTAATGATTATATACATACTTGTTTTGGAATTTGTATTCTATTTTAGGACTACTCCATTTTCAATACTCATCACATAGTATATTATAATAGTAATAATTACAAAAATAATAACATGTACATAGTACTATTATTATAATCATAATCTGTAATAAGTATAATATGTACTCGTAATATTTATTTACAGTAAAATAAAGAATAAAAATATCAGTAAAGAAGAGATAAACTAAAAATGAGAATGAATAAGTACACATTACATTTTTAGCTCGAGTTCTAGAATCTTATTCAAGTTCAAACCTATAAAAATTAATTAGTGAAATTTGACCCGAGCTCGAATAGAGCTCGATTTGAGCTCCAGCCGAGCTCAGCTTAAGTTCAAGCCCAAATTATTTAACTTGTCCAAGCTCGAGATCGAGCTCGAGAATTCTTATCAAGCTCAAGCATGCCCACGTTGAGGCTCAACTCGGCTTGTTTGCAACCCTAGATACAGGTAATACTCGTCCTTCATTCAACATGTTATTTGTGGGCTTGGATGGATCTCCAATATTTTTCATAGAGGCCCCCCTTCCCCCTCCTCCATCAATTACGTTGGACCCCTGGTCCCTCCCAGGGGCGGAGCCAAAGGAGGGTCAGGGTGGTTAGCCGATCGATCCCGCTGAAATTTGAGAGTATACAACTCTGAAATATTTTTGATTTGATATATTATGCCCCCGTAATTCATTACAAGTAAAAAATTGTGACTTCTGAAAAAATTATCACTATCTAAACGTAAAATCAGCAAAATTTGATGCATACTATAGTTTATTTTCCCAAATTCTAAAAATAGGATATATTTCACTCTTACGTGACACGACTCAACAACAGAACAAGGATAATATATCTTATTACTATGAATGCCTATTTATCTAAACTGCATATAAAATATTCAATACAACTTCTTGGGCGGTGACTTTAACACTCCCGTCCTACCACTTCTTTTTTTTTCGTAGAAGTTTTGGAGGAGTTTTTTTACTCTTTTTTGGGTGTGGGAAAAGTAATGCAGGACACAAAAGTGAAAGACTGAAAAACGGTAATGATAAAAAACAAACACGCCTCGGATCAACTTCCCACCGCTTCTGATAATTTCATAACGTACCCAAAGACTTCTTTCATCATTTGTAAACGCCATTAGCTATGATTATTATTATTATTTTTTCATCAAAACATGCCTCTATTCATATCAAAAGATTCATCAGGATCATTACATCAAGCAAAGGGAAAATAAAACAGACACCAACTGAAACTCCAACAACTACGACTGTAACCCTATGGTGAGACTTTGAGACGGTCACCCCTGAGAGAGCAACATGAATCGCTAACCATGTAGTGGGATTGACACAGCCAAAACTATTCTCATAGATCCAACCATACCCAATGACATAAAGAGAGACAAAAAACTCAAACTGTCAAACCTAACAACAAGAATGGACGCAAGAAAACAAATAACAAAAAGATAAAAACTACAAGAAAAATGTTCACGAACTCTAGCACCTCGTGCATCCCATGGTGGTGGTTCAGGAAGAGGTCGTACCACTGGTACCATGCTAATTGATCCACCATGACCTTTGGCTGCCAAAGACCATGCATTAATCCTCCGTCCCTGCATAACCAAACTCATCCCTGCTCCGTGCGACCAGAGTAAGCGGACAGGCGGCGCCGATCTTCTCCAACGACGACAGCAACGCCGCATCCTCGAACCTTGACCACAGCGCCGATCTCCTCGAGCCATGACAACAAATCTGCCCTCCTCCACCGATCTCCGCCCTCCGCGTCTGACCTAGACTCCAGTCGAGCACCAGCGACCAAGGGATAACAAAGCCGATCTTCGATAAAGTCGAAATCGGAAAAAGGCTCCAGCGGCTGACATTTTGAGTATTAGTTTTGCTTAATCTTTATAAAAGAAAGGAATAAATTCTGTTTTAGATCTTGTGAGTATCGCACCAATTACACAATTGGTTCGTGTCTTTGACTTTGACCACTTTTAGTACATGATAATTGTGTTTTCGTACTAATATGATTCTTCCGTCAATATTTCCGATGATTAAATCATCGGAAAAGGATCATAAATGGTCAAGAAACATTCGTCAAGTATCGAAAGTGGGCAAAGTAAAAAATGTGGACTAAATGTAGGATTGTTATAAAACTCATAGAACCAAAAGTGAAATTAATTCAAAAAAAGGGCAGAATGATAAAGTGAACTTTTATGTGTATACTTTCTTAATTTTTGGACGGATGTAGGGTATGTTTGGCACAACTAGCTGAAAAGATACTTTTGTGAGCTTTTTAATAACTGTTAGCTTTTAGTGACTGAAAAGATCTTAAAAAGAAAAGGTAATAGCTGTTTGGTAAAAAGCTAACTGTTTAATTTAGTTCGGTTTGCTATACAAGCTGTTAGGACTAATTAATACTAACAGTCACAGACTTTTTTTCAGATGCTACTGCTTGTAGCATCTCAAAAAAGATCTTTTAATTTTTGAAAAACTCTTAAAAGTTGTCATGCCAAACATATAACTAGAAGCTTTTAGAGACTTTTTGAACAGTACAAAAGTCAGAAGTCAGAGACTTATGCCTGCCAAACATAGCCATAGTTTGCACCTCATTTTTGGAGGGAGGGGTAACAATAAATGAAGGAGACAATAAAGAACAAACTGAAATGAAATGCCAAATAGTTGGTGGGTATGATTGTGTTTGACTTTACTGGACATTAAAGAAACAAACTGAAATGAAATTAGGTGATCGAAATGAAATTGGGTTACTGAAAGTCAACAAATGTTGTTTGCCGACGCGCGGTGTGAAAGCTGAAACGGATCCAGAATTGGAGGGCTATAGATTAGTGATTGACATGTGAAAAATTCTATTCTTAAACGACTTGGGTACACATTGTGGTTGTCTATTTGTTTGGATCTGATTTTTAAAGGTGACATCATTCATTTGATTGGACTACATCACTTTATCATTTTTAATTTAGATTTAAATAATTCAATTGTTACATTTTCATTGGTCCATATAGACAAAGATATGGTACCTTATGGGTACCATAGAATCCACCTTTTAAAAACTCCTTCTACTCCTTTAATTAGCAGAAATAGAAATTGAAGTGTTTGAGTGAAAGTACAGAAGTACTTCTGGTGCTCTAAATTACTCTAAGAATCAATTTTTTAGAAGCTGGAAGAGACTAGCTTCTGAAAACTGATTATGACTCTGCTTTTGCTTTAAAAAAGAAACAAAAGCAGAATCAGTTCCAAACACCTCATAGACAACTCGTTTGTAAAATGCAGTAATTGTTACACTATAGAGGTGAGTGTATAAAATGCACAAAAATGCGTGCACTCTCTATTTTTTTTTGTACACGTAATTCATTTTAAAGAAGACAACAATTATGTGTGTACAAAACCAAGTTTGCCAAATATGTACAACTTTTATGTATATTAGGAATTAAGAATGGTTGCTGACATATATGGAAGGAGTATTTCATTTAGTTAATAATAATACTTCCTCCATTTTTTATTAACCATCTCATATTCTTTTTTGGATTTTTTGTTGCATATTCTCTTTTCTTTTTTTGGAAGTTTTTCCTACCCTTTCCAATGTATAAAAAAAAGTAAGTTTTTCCAATTAAAATATATTTGCTTCTTGACTTTTTTATCTTTTTTTTAAAGACATTTTTATATTTATTATTTATATTTATTATTTTACATTTTACAAACTAGTTTTTTTTCCACTTTTTTATTGATTTACTCTTCTTAATATACTCTCTTTCCTACGATTTCATTTGGCATACACTCTCTATACTATGTAGTATTCCGTAATAATTAAGAGGTATTTGGATTTACTTTTTAAAAGTGCTTCTACTTCTTCAGGAAGCAGAAATAAATATTGAAAATTTTGGATGAAATTATTTTTGAGTGCACTAAATTGCTCATAAAACAATTTTTTAGAAAGTAAAAAGGACCAATTTATGAAAAACTCGCACAAAACAGAATCATTTAGAAAAGAGAATCAATTAGAAAGAAGAGAGGTAGTGTTGAAAAAAAAATGCGGAGTAAATAAGAAATACATCAATAACATGATCGTGAACTTAGCTTAATACGTAATTAGAAAAACAACATACGTAGTATATACCTGCAAAAGTAGTAAAGGATAGGAGGTAATGCCCTGAGAGTAATCCACCGCCGGGATGAGTTGCCGGAGCTCCAACGTGGGAGCGAAGTCACCGAAATCGTCGACAAAGCCGTCAGATTCCGCCTCCAGCAGCAGAACACCGGCGGCGTTGCAGTTGATCTCGATGCGACCGTCTTGGTCCCTCTTGAGGCGGCCGGCCATGGGGTAGAACGGCACCAGGGCTCGGCTGAGCGCATCCCGGAGGACCCCGGAGTCGAAGAAGTCAGGCGCCGAGCCGATCGGGCGCCGGTAAAAGTACACGCTCGGCGTGTGGAAGTTGGGGACCACCAGGTCGACGTTGGAGTTCCACAGGCTCCGGCGCGGAGTCTCCTCCGCCGGCCTCACCATACTCGACTGCTTCACCTCTATCTTCATTTAATTAATTACGTAATTGATTTTCCGACGACGATCGATCTTGCTCAACACAGGGAAGTAACGTATAGTAGACGGGAATTGAAAGATATATCATATATATATATGGCTGGGCTGGGAGTATGTACGTAGTTCGTTTAATTCACCCACCAAAACTATATTTCAGCGCCGGGTCGGGTGACGATGAGGACCTCTACCAAAAAGTCCTCCGATCCTTCCCTGCGACTACATCCTTGTCTTTTTTTTTTTTTTTATATATATATATATTTACCTACTAACCTACTCAAAGACGTTAACGTGTTACCAGTCCCAAAACATATGTGAATATGTTTTCAAAAATTCCAGGAATATTACTATCTGAAAACTGCTGGACAAGAATATAACCAACCTCCGTATTTAGAAATAACCATCAAATGCTAACCGTGTGTTTTCTTTGCTAATTATATATTAGCACCAGTCACTTTTTTGTCCATGTAATTACTAATGGTAATATTTAGGTAAACAACTCATGTGTTTTTATTTTAATATTTTTCATAAATCATAATGTTAATTCCGATCCCTCGATTGTAATTTGTGTTATTATAAATGTTATATCAGATCATTGTTAATGTAAATTCTTGAACTTTGAATTTAGTAGAGGCACTAAAAATGTAACTCAGACTTACGGAAAATGAAACTCGCTTTAACGACAAAACTAATTAACTTGAGGGAATCAAAGTATATATATATATATATATATATATATATATATATATATATATATATATATATATATATATATATATATATATATATATATATATATATAAGATGTCGTATATAAGATATAAAGTTTTGACTTTAGTGCAAACAATGAAAAAGTAGAGATTAATTGTTCAATTACTTTACATAAATAGCAAACATATTTTGTTTTTAATACCGAGGCTATAGATCGTGTCTCACTAAAGAATTAAGATGTCGTAAGTCGTGGACGTATAAATGTAACTCGTGTTACTAGAAGTATAATCTCAAGTAGTGGCACATGTAATTCACGTTACTTAAATGTAATCTCATAAATGCAACTTGTGTTACTGGAAATGTAATCTCATGTAGTGGTAAATGTAACTCGCGTTTCTAAAATGCAATTTCATGTAATGAGAAATGCATGTAACTTGCCTTACTGAAAATGTAATGTCACGTAGTGACAAATACGATAATCTGAACTTTCAAATATGAATCTCATCAAGTGAAAATTTAAGATAATGCTTGAAGAAAACTTTCAGACCTTCACATACAAATATGAAATTTTATTTTGAATTAATGAATTGATGGAGAAAAGAAAAAAAGAGAGTCGATGAACGAGATGGCCAACAGATAGGGGAAGAAGGGGAATACATGGACACACAAATCGGTGAAAGAGGAATAGATGATCGAACATATTGGAAAATAAGAGGAGGTGACAACTCCGGTACCCATTTAAAAAATGAGGTACCGTACCTACCACTCACATGATTGGTCCAAATCATTAAATCATTTTTAATTTAGATTTAAATAATTCAACTGTAACATTCTGATTGGTCCAAATGGACAAAGGTATGGTACATTTTGGGTACCATAGAATCTACCATAAGGGGAATAAAATGACTGGACGGATCGACGAAGAAGAGAAATATATGGCTGGAGAAGAAGACGAGTTATCTTCTTTTTTTAATTAATAAAACGATATCGTTCACACAGTATTGTGACCATTGTTCTAAAACTAGCTAGGCGCTAGTCGGGCGGTTGAGGGGCGCCTAGCGCCTAGGCGGCCGACTAGGCCGATTTTTGACCGCCTAGACCGATTTTTTGGCCGACTAGGCCGACTAGTGCTATACGGTTATGGCCGACCAGGCCGAGTAGACCGATTAATCGGTCCGACTAGGCCGATTTTTAGAACAGTGATTGTGACTGTTTAAGAAATCTTTCGTAAGCTAATACTAATGGACAAAGGTACCATACCTTTGTCCATTTGGACCAATCAGAATGTTACAGTTGAATTATTTAAATCTAAATTAAAAATGATTTAATGATTTGGACCAATCACGTGAGTGGTAGGTACGGTACCTCATTTTTTAAATGGGTACCGGAGTTGTCACCTCCTCTTATTTTCCAATATGTTCGATCATCTATTCCTCTTTCACCGATTTGTGTGTCCATGTATTCCCCTTCTTCCCCTATCTGTTGGCCATCTCGTTCATCGACTCTCTTTTTCTTTTCTCCATCAATTCATTAATTCAAAATAAATGAAGTAGCATTCTCGTACAAGAACAATAAAAAACAAGAAGTATGCAAATTAGACTACAAATCAAGAGTAGCATTCTATGTATTTTGGGGGAAGAATGCCTACTATTTACATTGCAATAACTCCTATATAGGAGGAGTAATTAATGTTTACCCGAGCATTTCTTCCATTGTGACGGTTTAAAGCTTGTCAATCTTCTCCTTGATTACACTAATTGTCTTATTAATACATAAAAAAATTCTTAACAACCGGCATAAGTCTTATAAATGTATTATTAATTTCTATTATCAATTCTCATAAATGTAATATTAAACCATCAAATATTTGCTTCAACAGTGACTTGTACATTGTGCGCCAGTTAAACGCTCTCACGGTTTAATTTGAGACATGGTTATATACGCAAATAGCCCAATACCTAGCCAGCCTTTGATTTTGGTAGAGGCTAGATCGAGAGTCGAGACATTGACCATCGGAGTTAACCATGTTGATCACTAGTTGTCAATTGTCATACCCACCCCATCATGTATTAGTTATAACCACCGCCACGGACTCTAAACTTTTCTCAACACCAAGAATATCAATGATTTTTGTAGAAATTTCACCAATATTTATGTGATGTCATACCCACCCCCAAAACTTCTTACCAGATTATATAGAGGAACACCTTATTTAAAGAAAGGGAAATTTAATAAAGAAATGGAGGGAAAGTACTTAAGAAAATAAAAGCTAGTAAAAGAGAACAAACAAACAAGTCAATTTATAACAAAAAAATTCATATTGATTTTTGAGAAACCCTAGGACACTAGTAGAAAAAGGCCTTATAGTGACACTATTTTTGTGTCACAGAAAGTTTCCGTGACACATATCATTCGTCGCAGAAGGTGGGAAATGGTGACACTAAATTTAGTGTCACGGGTGAAATGTCAACAAATTGTGACGCTTAAGTATCATTAGATATTTTGACGCGAATGTATCACAATTACTTGTGATACTGTAACAAAACAAAAAATCATGATACATTAGTATCATATAAATCAATGATGCCAAGACATCAATAAAATTTGTAACACCATGGTATCATTATGTTTTATAAAACATAAATATATGATTCATAATCTTGGTTTCCAACATCATTAACATATACAAGTCATTCAAGACACACACCTAAAACGGTAAAGACACAAAATATGAAAATCTCACAATTTTCATTCACTAAAAATTTATCCACTAGTAGTTGTACATTTCCTTACAATTTACTTCAAATTTCACCAAACTACATAACAAGTACATGTTTCACCAAAATACAAAACCATGATAATACAATCAAGCAATTGTTTGTTGGTGCTATAAGTGCTGGAGTAGAAAAATTTATGGTTTGCTTCAAACTTCTAGCAATCCAGTCGTACCGCAAACTTCTCCAACCAAATCATCTAGTTCTGTACAAATAAACAATATAAACAAAATCAAGAGCATGAAGCAATGAAGGGATTGAACCTTGAACAGCTACACACAACCTGACCTACAATTCTACAAACACATCCTTTTTTATTTTATTTTTTCTACAAACACATATCCTTATAAACAAGGAACACACTTGAGTAGGTATTTTAAGTCTTTGTTTTGACTGATTTTAGCAGTACATGTTCATGAAATGTACTTGAAAATATGTACATGGCACTCTCCAGTAAGAAAAGCTAGGAAGTATTTAAACAATGGTTCAGAATTTAATTGCTTAACTGATACCTTATTAGCAAGCTCCTTTATCTGCATTCTAAAATCTGAACCCATTCCATAGATACCACAGTTGTGAAGAACACAGATCAATATTTAAGAAACCAAAGTCATAAGTTAGACATAAAAGTTCACAAACTTAGAAACATAAGCAACTAACCTATAACTAGTTCAAGAATAACTGTACTCCTTACTCAAAAAAGCATAAATATGTGTTCAAACAACTGGGAAATGTTTTACAAACTATATACTCTACATTAAATTAAGAACATGTAAATCAAAGTGGCAAGACTAGCAAGCATAAATAAAGCACCAATGAATGAAGAGGAATCAGCCAAAAAGTCTTACAATCCTAAAAGAGTACAAGGTCTGTTCCAATTTGGCTTTTAAAATTGGCTTCATTTCAAGATTATAATTTTCAAAAACTTAAAATCTTCATTAATTATTTGAGGACTTTCCTCAAACACTTTACTTGCAGCCTTCTAATATTGAGTTACTTTAATATCGTGTAGGTGTATGTGCCACTAACGAGATCAGTTTTTTTTTTACTTTTTTAATTATATTTTAGGATTGTTAAACACATCCAGTTTCGAAATCGCTAAAAACAGAAAAAATAGTGATGCAAAAACAAAGTTATGAACGTATACCATTACCTGATGGCTAAGAGAATAAAAGATGCTGGAAATCCTAATATACGAGAGGGAGAGAGGAAAGGGATAAGTCTAGAGGTTTTAGTGAACTTAATCGAGTGTATAGCGTGAAATACCTGCAAAAACAGACCAGGATTCAGGAACATTGATAAGAAAAGGAACCAATGCTTTGTTCTCATCTATGTCGAGCCAAAAACCTAAGTTCAGATAGTAGCTAATAGCGATAGAACTTCTTTCTTACTCCTTCAACCACGGATTGTTTCTCCTCTGCCTCTCATTTCTCCAGTAGTAATTTCTATATGACTATTTATAACCTCTGCAGCAGTATGGTGTACTACATGTAATTGATTAAGCTAAAAATATGATAAAACAGCAAAACATTAAAGAACAAACAATGTCAATAAAGTTTTGAACGTAATCAATCTATGAAATAAGCATTCTTCATAAAGCATATGTTGAGCCATCAAATACCATACACATATCAATACCCTGAAAAATCAATTTATATCAAAGAATACCTTATGAGCAAGTAAACCTATGTTTATGAGCAAAAGAAGGGGTTGAGGAACGATCTAAAAATGAATACTTCATATTCAAAATGTT